AGACTACACCAGGTGTCACACCTGGGTCCTGGGACAGCAGTGGTAGACAAGTCACACCGCTGTCTTCCTCGCAGGCTGTCTGTGGGGCGACTGGGGGGTTGTCCCAGTGTGGTGTGGCAGGGTGCTACAGAACCCAGAGAACGAAAGCCAGCTTGGGGGAGAGCCCATCCAGGGCCCACACGTCAGGAGGGCACGGTGCGTCTGGGAGCCGAGGCTCTGTGGTAGCACCAGTGTGCTAGGATAGTGAGGTGGGTGATGGGAAAACATGGGCAGAGACAGGGAAGGACAAAAAAGGGACATTCCTGCTGGATGGGACGTGGAGGCAGGAGGATTTCGCAGCACAAGCCTCACGTGCCAGTGGCCGGGCTGGGAGAGGGCAGCAGGGGGGAGATGGGAGGTGGGCCTGAAATCAGTATGAGGCGTGGTAGGAGGGGGCTGGAAACAAGGTTGCGGGCAGGAGGTCATTGTTGTAGAAGGTCATTCTGGGGCACAGAGTGGGGGAACCCAGTGAGATGGCTGGTGCTGTTATGCAGGGGCATGTGTCCACTCCCTGTGGCCTTTGGGCTGCTCCGGGATGGCAGGGAGGAACCCAGGCTGGAGCCAGGTCTCTGGCTGGGGTGAGTGGGCAGACGCTGGACTCAGAAGCTGCGGTGAGTAGCACACTGAGAGCCAGGGGCCATGTTTGGTGTTCGAAGTCTGGCCTGGTGGGACAGGAACGAAACCAAGCGAGCGATTTTTGGCATTACCTGCATTGGAAGCCCTGGAGGAGGTGAGAGGACAGGGAGGCAGTGGGGCAGGTGGGTGCGGCCCCGGGGGTTGTGGGGAGGAGGGCACGTAGGCGGGGGCGGGTCTCCCTCTTTCCAGGAGCTGGCTGTTGAGGGACCTGGGTTCGGCCCAGCGCCTGGCACTTTTCTGCTGTGCTTCGTGGGCCATCCCATGCCTCACTCTTGGCGTGTGCTCTGTGTTACTTGTCGAAGGAGGGCTGTAATTCAGGGGTAATGCATTCTCCCAAATGTCCAAGAAGGTGGCACAGTTTGTACATCCAGGCTGGGCTGCAGACCACCCTGCCCTTGCCGCGCTCTCAGGACCTGCTCCGCACCCGCTTCATCCCAGAGTCACCTGTGTCCCTTGTGAATTGCCTTGGCGGGGGCGGCAGGTAGGTATTTGTGAGGCGGGTCATTGTTTCTACATCGTTTGTCGGGTCTTCGTATGTTAACCCTTTGTCATGTTGCAAACACATGCAAGGCTGTCATTTTCTTTATGTTGTTCCTACAAAGAAGCTGAGATAGTTTCTGATTTCAGAGATCCTTTTTTGGGGTGTCTGGGTGGCTCAGTGGGTTAGGCGTCTGCCTTTGGCTCAGGTCATGATCCCAGGGTCCTGGGATGGAGCCCCGCATCGGGCTCCCTGCTCGGCGGGGAGCCTGCTTCTCCCTCTGCCTCTGCTCCTGTCCTGTCCCTGTCCTGCTTGTGCTCTCTCTCTCTGAAATAAAATCTTAAAAAAAAAAGAAAAAGATCCTTTTTCATTATAATTTCTGCCTTTGTGATCATATTTAGGAAATAATTCTTTACTCCAAAACTATGTGTATACCTACATTTTCTTCTAGTGCTTTTTTTTTTTTTCCTCTACGGATTTTATTTATGTATTTGAGAAAGAGAGTACAAGCAGGGGGAGCTGCAGAGGGAGAGGGAGAAACAGGCTCCTCGCTAAGCAGGGAGCCCGATGTAGGGCTCGATCCCAGTACGCGGGGTCCTGACCTGAGCCAAAAGCAGACGCTCAACCAACTGAGCCACCCAGGCGCCCCCTTCTAGTGCTTGTCTGTTTATTGTAATTCCATAATACGTTTTTGTATTTATCAAGTAAGATCCTGCATTCATTCAGCTTTTTTAAACAAATGTTTTAATTACAGGAGATTATGTTTGCTACATAATGGGCATTATTCAGGAACATTTATCAATCAAGAAATTCCTGGGACGCATGGATGGCTCAGTCGGTTAAGTGTCTGCCTTTGGCTCAGGTCATGATCCCAGGGTCCTGGGTTTGAGTCCCGCATTGGGCTCCTTGCTCAGCGGGGAGCCTGCTTCTGTCTCTGCCACTGCCTGCCACTCCCCCTGCTTGTGCTCTCACGATCTCTCCCTCTCTCTCTTCCTCTGGCAAATAAATAAATAAAATCTTAAAAAAAATAAAAGAAGAAAGAAAGAAATTGCCAATAAGAGAAGAGATTCTGAACAACATATTGGCATAACATCCCAGTCTAGGAAAAAGGATTTTGTGGTACCTATGGTACCTGTTCTTTCCCTTGACTTGGAGGTAGCAAGTCTTGCTCAGCACGAGTGCTGTCAGGACCCGGGTCTGTGGCCACAGTGTCCCCACAAGGGGAGGAGTGTGGTTGGAATGTGTGACCTCACGGCACCAGCACCGTGTGGGGGAGAGCGTGCCCAGTTCCGATGCTGAGCTCCTGAGTTGAGATGTGGCTGGTCTGGGTCTCTAACCGCCCCCTCTGCCGCTACCAGGCTCTCAATCTCAGGCACATGAATCACCTGTTAGTTCTTGGTGTCCTCATGCGTTGGGGACCCAGTGGTTGTAGACACATGGTTTCTAGCCTGGACTGTGCACCACCGGCACCTAATACATGTCAGTTGCCAGTTCTGTATGCATCGACAGACACTCTGTAGGTGCTTATCGACAGGACTGTTTCCTAGTGATTCTTTGAGAAACTTTGCTCAGAGAACTTGGATTTTTTTCTTTGTCCTGTGAAGTCGGATGAAACTGCTGGTGTCACTTGTGATCCTTCTTGCTGGTTCTTTCAAGAGAAGAACAATACAGTAGGGATTCCATCTGCCTTTTCCAAGCAAGATGGCGCCCCCAGTCAGTGGAGCTTGCCCTTGTCCTGGCACAAGCACAGACCGGTCCCAGGACTTCTCCGCGATAGCACGGCAGACATGGCCGCGGCAGGTGCCGGGGCACCGGGGGCCTCAGCCCCGGTCTCTCCTAGAGGCACGCTCCCTGTGGAAATGAAACCGCTGACGCTTTGTTGGCTGCCAACCTGGGAATTAAGAGGCCCTCCTCCCCCAGCCCGACATCTGCTGACGCCCGTAAAAAGTAATTGCTTTTGAGATGCTGTATAGGACCGGGGCCTGGCTGGCAAGAACGTCGACGTGGAGGCACAGGGGAGAGATGGAAGTTACCTGTTTCCCCCCGGGGAACAGAGGGGGATGTAATACCTTTATTTTCTTGGGGAGCAGAGAGATACAGTTGGGTAGTTAAATTTGGAAGAGAATAGCACGACACAGAAAAGAGAGAGAGGGGCATTTAACAAGAAAAGTCCCCAGAGGGAAAGATTAAAGCGAACAGGTGCTGGAAGAATGTTTCTGCATATTAGAGCTTAATTAGATTTGAAGATGAATTCCAGATGGGCTAATTATGTACGAGTTGTTGCAGGTTATTTCTTGTAGGGGCAAACGTGTATTTTTGGAAGTGGTGGTTTAGTTTGATTGGGTTTGATTCCTGCCTCCTACCATATCTCCTCCGAGAAACTGCTGCTTCTGGGGCCCCAGGACCCACCCAGCCAGCTCGTGTCTCGGGCTGCCCCCGCCGAAGCTGGTGGAGCCACAGAAAGCTGGGCCACCCCGACCGCTGCAGGAAGCAGCGCATGGAGGACAAGTGACTTACCCAGATGGACTGGAGTGTAATTCCAACTTCAAAGGAAGGCAGACCGATGAAGCGGTGTGTTGTTTCCAGGAATGTGTCCTTTGATGGGGTGCTAATGCTTCCTGCGTAGCTAGCTGGTTAGGCAGATTTGGACCGTTTTCTGGGAGGGCAAAGGGGCAAGTTCTGGTTGGCAGCTCTCTTAAGTTGTGAATCGAGGAAAGGTCGGGAAGGCATGGGTAAACTGAGATGTATTACAGACTAGGAATTTTAGTTTCTAAACAAAAGGATCTGGGCCAACTAGGACCTCTGGACTTACCGTTAGGATGATAGATTTGCTTCAACGTAGGAACAGCCCGTGAAGGTTGTCTCGAAAGATGGTGTGCGCCTCTGACGTCCATGGAAAGGTGGGATGTGCCAGGGTGGCCTGGCGTCATCCTGCGGGCCTCAGGGGGATCTGCTTGGCATCCATTCGGGTCTGAGGGCTTTAATAAATGTAAACTTTTATGGAAGGCCCCATAATTGGAAGTTATGGATGTATAATTTATATATGACTCAGTGAATGAGTTATATGATGTTAAGTGATGAATTAGATAGAAAATATGACCCCCTCTCACAGAATCTTTAATGAAAAGTGTTGGTTCTTATGAATTTATTTCTAGAGCTCTGTTTGAACTCAGCATGTTTGACATAAATCAGATATAATTGTCATTTTATGATTAATGAACATATGCTGGCCGTTTTTCCCCATAATTAAACTTTATGTTCTGTGCATCTAACAGAGCAAAACAAGTTTAGACTTTGACAGATTGTTGGTGGGGGTTTTCCATGTTTGCATATTTGTGTGTGTGTGTACTCATTTGCGTGTGTATTTGTTTTATGAACGAACACGTATTAAATCGGGTTTCAGAGGTGTGAGTAGGATCGTTAGGAGCTAGCGTTCAGATCCAAGGTTGAGGAGTGCCTGTGAAGGATGGAGAGGCATGGGTGTAGTTGGGGGGGGGGGGCGGGCAGGCGGGAGGGAGCCCTGGGCCTGTGTGTTGCTCACCCAGGGCAGTGTTAGTACCAGGCCTCATGTGTGTGCTGGGCAGGGGGCTGTGATGCACGCTCCCAGTGGAGACTCCCCATTAGCCAGAAGCACGGCTGCTTTTCATCTTATGGCCATCATACCGAGCTCTGGGCAACGACAGAAGGTGGATGCGTAGCAGAAACATGCATGGTTTCCTTTCTGCCTTTCATAGACTTCGACAAGACTCATAATCGTTGACAAGGTAAGACAAACATGTGAAAGACTAACCACATCACTGGTCAGCACACCTTCACTCATGCCGCTCACTTCTGTTTCCTGTTTCAGGACATAGACAAGTTTGGCAATGAGATCACCCAGCTGGCCCGGCCCCTGCCCGTGGAGTATCTGATCATAGATGTAAGTGTGCGGCGTCTACCACACCCTGGGCGGCCGGGTGGGGGCCGGGTGGGGGCCGGGTGAGGGTGGCAGCGGTGGCTTGGACAGTTGCCCTTCTGCTTGGCCCAGGACAGGCACCCAGGAAGTAGATGAATCATTGAGCTCCTGTCATCCCTGAAAAGCGGGCGATTTTAAGGGCTTTTTCTTCTAGTTTCAGTTTTTTTATTTCCTTAAGTACAACTTAGGGTTTCCCTTCTCCCAAACTAAAGTGTAGCAAAGGACCACCGACCTGGCCAGGCAGCCTCTGGAGGTCAGTGAGCCCAGCATGGCGCCGTGCGCGGCCTGTGTAGGTGCGACCCTGGTCACAGCTCGGCTGTCGGAGCCGGGCTCGTGGTGGGCCCCTCCACCTGAGTCAGTCCCAGGGGCAGCCAGCGTGACTGTCCTCGAGTGAGGTGGTATGTGTTTTCCTGGGGGGATCTCCAGGAGCCCAGAAGGCAGCTGGCTGCGACACCCGGTCCTGGTCTCGGCTGCTTTCTGGAGGTGTGCTGGGCTCATGGAGGTGTGGCCCCAGGCCAGAGGGCAGCAGAGGGCTCCAGCATGAATGCCCAACACATTTGCAGCAATCAGCTCTGTCCCAGGGGGACAGGCGGCTGCTCATTTCCTAACTGCTGCCTGCCAGGTTCTCTTCGGGCTACATTTGGACTCAGGAAGGGCATGTGATTCAGGCCGTAAAATATCATTGCATTTGGAGCAGCGGGTCCCCAGGAGCCAAGCCCATCGGTGCTCCATTCCCATTGACAGCTCCCGAGAACGTATTTATTACCTAGGCCGTAAAGGCATCTGTTTTTTAGACTACCTAGGGTGTAATTAAGATGAAAACAGATTGATGGAACGTACACTTAGGAGGAGTCGGCATGATTTAAAGCCAGCTTTCTGAGGTCTTCTCTCCCCGTGGCCTCCCCACCCCTTTCTTTTTACAAAAGAGCCGAATTCTTGCTTAGTGTGCTGTGTCAGTAGAGTTTGGCTGTGAAAGAACATTCTGCCTCATGATAGCCAAGCTCTCTGTTGTTGTGGAACGAGGTTGGAGCAGTCCCTTGAGAACAGGTGTCCAGACTGGTGTGCTCAGCCCCTCATCAAGCCTCATGAGCAGTCTGCTGTTTCAGGCAAGAGAAGGCATGGGCCACATTCCCTGGGCTGCCGTGGAGGTGTCCGGGCATCGGCTAGATGACCTGAGACAGGCTGGCTGGGGGGTGGCTTAAACACAGGACAAGGTGCTGGACGCCCTGCACCCCTCTGTGGGTGTCTGGGATATTCACAGACTGCCTAGTGAACTTTGGTTCTGTCATGCTCTAAGGGGAGGTTACAAGGCTAACAAAGACGTCTCTTCATCCCACATCTATTGCCTGGTAGGTGTTCTGTGTTGCTGGTCCACCATGTCTGCCTTCCCAAAGCCAAAGTGCCGTGCCGTCCATGGGCCTTTGTCTCTTCTGCCGTCTCTCTGACGGCGGCTGGAGACTGATAAGGGCTTGTGTGTCTGAGCCTTAGTGGACGTAGGCACTCGGGGTCATCTTTGACTCTAGAGGAACACACTGAGGCTTAGGATCCGTAGCTGACAGAGGCCACGCAGCCAGTACGTGGCACTGTGGCCAGAGCCCACATGGCTGCGTGGTCTTGTCAATAAAAGACCAGCGGGAGGGGCGCCTGGCTACTAGCTCAGTCGCTGGAGCGTGTGACTCTTGATCTCAGGGTTATGAGTTCAAGCCCCACGTTGGGTGTAGAGATGACTTAAAAATAGCATCTTTTTTTTTCTTTTTAAAGATTTTATTTATTTATTTGACAGAGAGAGAGACAGCGAGAGAGGGAACACAAGCAGGGGGAGTGGGAGACAGAGAAGCAGGCTTCCAGCTGAGTAGAGAGCCCGATGTGGGGCTCGATCCCAGGACCCTGAGATCATGACCTGAGCTGAAGGCAGACACTTAACGACTGAGCCACCCAGGTTCCCCAAAAATAGCATCTTTAAAAGAGCAGTGGGGCTCAGGTCTCAGATGCTGCTGCCGGCTCAGCCGCCCTCCAGTGTGCCAGCACAATCACAGTGAGTCCTGGGCCAGCCTGAAACGGCCCGCTGCCTTCGCTGATGCAGAAAACAGACCAGAACAACATTTTCATTCTTTAGAAATAGTCCCAAAGGAACCAGAATAGCTACCCTAAATCTGGACGAGGTGTGATCTGCTGCCGCTGGTGTCATATTGTAGAGGAAAGGCTGTGTCAACTGAAAGGTGGTTGATAGCTCACACTTGGGTGCTTTCGTGGGGAGGAGCACCTGCCAGGGGGAATGAAAAATGGTATTTGTATTGATTCGTGCACATTTACCACTGTCCCTGTAGTTTGTATTGATTATGTGTTAGATTTAAAATGCTCTCTGTTGTTACTAAAGCATGTCTGAGCCAAAGGAAGGGCTTAGGCTCCCCTTTGGACACAAGTTCTTGACTTCAGCCCGTCTGATGGGGAGAGCACGACTCCTGTGTCCTGCACCTCAGAAGCATGGGTTCTCTTGCTGCCTGGACGTGCCCCAGCTCCACGCCGTGGAGCCGTATGTCCCAAGGGGCCTCAGCAAGCTCTCTGGAGGTCACTGCGTCTCTCAGACCATCACAGCTGACCCTGAGAATTCTCCTGGCCTCATCCATTGTGTCCCCAGAGCTCACTCTCTGGCTCCTCCACAGGCGAGGGCCGCTGTGTGGGCAGCTTGGCAGACGGAAGCCCGGAGGCCGACACACACAAGCTGCCTGCAAACGGCACGATCCTAAAACTTGTGAACAATGATCCTTCATTTTGCTTCCCAGATCAGAGTGTCAGGGTTTTCATTTCGGGGTATCTTTAACGGGGGACCGTGGCGTCCAGTGGGAAACAGGACTCTTTGGCTGGAGCTTGGGGAAGGGTGCCGTGCTCAGGGCTGCTTGGGGCACCTGGGGCCGCCCTCACCCCTGTTTGCAGCACAATTTATCAAGGGTTTTGTTTTTGTTCATTAGATCACAACCACTTTCCCCAAGGATCCAGTTTATACTTTTTCTATTTCGCAAAACCCATTTCCTATTGAAAACCGGGATGTATTGGGTGAGACACAGGTAAGCTCTTTGTCTTTAGAAACATAATTTAAAGTAACTACTGCTTGTTTGTCTAGTGTCAGTGTTGTCTCTTCAGAAAGTACCAAGCTTTCAAACTCTCCTGATGGATTCTTGTGACGAAGCCCAGCTAGGACTTTTTCTGAGACACTCTTGATCACCGAGACATCCTCTGTGGGGCCGGGGCTGACATAACCACAAAGGCAAATCCCCGTAAGGCCACAGGCTTGTGGATCTGCCAGAAGAGCCATTCTCAGTTGACTTCTTTTCTTCCCCAAACATATTTGTCACCTGTGTCCTCTCCCAACAACTTTTTTTATTATTTGTTTGTTAACAAGCATCATCTCCTTGTGGAGATGTCACTTCACTGTTTGCTCTGGCTTCCAGCCCTGCCACCCTGTTGCGTTTCTCACGCACGGTCCGGGCCGTGTGGGCCTCGTGTGGCCTGGCCGCCTGGGCTTTCCAACACGCGGTATGGGTCCTACATAGCATGTCCTGTGCGGTGGTCCCTGCTCTCCGCTGCACACTTGCCTCGTGCTGCCACGCAGACGGTCTGGGACACACATTTGTTCTTAGGTCCTAATTGCTAACAGGCGTTGCAGAAAAGAATATAAGGAGATTTTCTTGGGAAGTGTGGTGCTTTATTTGCAAAACCTCTCTGATGCTTTGCTCTCCTCATGGCCCATCTGTGCGGGGACTTGGGGTGCTTGAAGAGGTGCAGAGCCACATCCTGGTGGCACTCTTGAACCTCCTGTGTTTAGTTTTTTGTTTTGTTTTTTTAAATTCATTTATTTGAGAGAGAGAGCATGAGAGAGAGAAAGCACGAGAAAGGGAGGGTCAGAGAGAGAAGCAGACTCTCCACTGAGTGGGGAGCCTGATGTGGGTCTTGATCCTGGGACTCCAGGATCATGACCTGAGCTGAAGGCAGGATGCTTAACCAACTGAGCCACCCAGGCACCCCCTCTTGTGTTTAGTTTTGCTGACGGTGGGAGTGTTGCATCATCCTCCCAACACACACACACACACACACACACACACACACACACACTCACTCACACACTCACACACTCACACACTCCTCGCTGTCCAGCTGTCCGAGGTCAACAGTCCAGCTAGACAGCAAGTGCAGACAGGTCTTCTAGCCCCAAAGTGAGCCCTTCCCACAACCCACTCTCCACCTGGAGGGGTGGGGGGCATTTTCTGTCTTTTTGAATGTGTCTTCCAGCTGGATCGGCTTTATACACATGCTCTCTTACACACATCAATGAGCCACAGGTACTGAGAGCATCATCCTGGGAGGATAGAGCCATAGCTTACTTATGTGGTAGCCGCGTGTCCCTCTGGCCTGGGTCCCCATCAGTGATTATAGATCAAGACGGGGAGAGGTGTGTATCTGCACTCCACATTCAGCTGTGTCTCAGGAGGGGACAGATGGCTCTCTGGGCTGGGCACTGGGGCTGTCCTGGGACGCTCCTGCTCACTTGCTTCCTCCTGCCTCGCCACTGTAGGACTTCCACAGTTTGGCCACCTATCTATCCCAGAATACCTCATCCGTGTTCCTGGATACCATCTCGGATTTCCACCTCCTGCTGTTTCTGGTCACCAATGAGGTCATGCCTCTGCAGGTACAGGCCTGAGTGTGCGTGCCCGCTGAGCACCTGGCTTTGGGGGTCCCCAGGTGGGGTTTGGCTATAAAGTCAGAGCATGGCTGGGAAGGTGGGTCGAAGTCCGTCTTACGTTCTATAGGCAGTGGCTTTTCACAGGAGGCTTACTGGTAGAAAGATGGAGTTTTCACATTAGCATTTGCACTGAAACAGCTTCCTTACGTGTCTGCCCCCCACAATGGAGGACGGTTTCAGTTGTTATAATTCTGTATTGAGCTCTGTGTCCTCTAGCATGGAGCATTAGAGAGCCAGCAATTTACAGAATTCCTGTCCTAACAGTGTCAGAATCACGGCCTCTGCTGCTTACTGCTCTCTCCCCTCCTCCTGAATCAACTGTGGTTTTATGGCCTTGGCCCAGAAGGTTGGCTCGCGTCCAGGCCCTGAGTGCACAGCTGCGTGGTTGGCATTTTTAAGATGCACTGTTGGGAAGAAGAGGGCAGGTGTCTCGGGTGGCGGCTGCTCTCTGAGCAATGTGGAGCTGTGGGGCTAGCCAGGGGGCCCTGACTTTGTGCCCTTTTTTCCTGCCTGAGACCCAAGGAGACACTAGAGAGAGGGGAACGAATTCTCTCTGAGCCTCTGACTTGACACGTTCCCTGAAGGTGACAGAATAGAGGCCTTTCTGTCCCCACTGCTCTCCTGCATCAGGCGGCCTATGGCTGTTCTTGTATCCTACTGGGTTTAGCTGGTGTCTATGTTTCGTCCCCAAACTACCCACTTCTGACATTGGACATCAGGCACCCTGAGACCTTCCTTTGGCTTTGCCTGCCTTGGTAAGCCTAGAGGGTAGGCCCCTCGGGTCCAGGTGCAGCTGCTGCCTGTCCAGTTGGACAGGCGGCAAAAGTCTGGGCTCTTCACACCAGGGCCTCCTCACCAGTAGACGTGTACTGTTTGGCAGTCACCTGTTAGAAAACCTGTTCTGGGGAGCCCCTGAGAGCCCCCAAAGCCTTATTAGTTCCCCATTATATAAACTCTTTTAATTCTCTGCACTTTGACCCTGGAGGCCTAGGATCCAGAGACATGGTTGAGAAGATAGCCTGCAGGGAGAGCATGAGGGTGGAGGATGGACCCCGTGACCATGGGCACCTGTCCGTGCATCCAGGCCCTCAGGATAAGGGACGCGAGCTTTAGTATCTTGGTGGTTGAGCACACTGGTCTGCTCATGACAGAGAGCAGTGTAGTAGGGCTATTTGGGAAGAACTTAAATTTAGCTCTAAAATTTAGCACTTGATTTTATAGACTTAAGTGTGTGGCATTTTGTGTTTCATAGTGACAGCCTATGAGATTTTTTTTAATCGCCCCTGAGGTGTGTCTTGATGTTGGGGAAGAAGAAACTTATTAACAACAGTGTGTCCACCATCGCGAAGCAAGTGGGAGCCTTCATTTTTGGGTTCTTGCAGGACAGCATCAGCTTGTTGCTGGAGGCCGTGAGGACCAGAAATGAGGAGCTCGCGCAGACGTGGAAGAAGTCTGAGCAGTGGGCCACCATCGAGCAGCTGTGCAGTAAGTGTCCTCCCCTTCCTCAGTCCCAAGCATCACGCCCTCCCACTCCCATTGCCAGAGCCCAGGGAACTGGACACATACTCTGCAAAGCTTCTCAGGTCCTAGAAGCCTGACCCCAGATGCATTCTGATGGGTGCTGTGGGCAGTCGGACAAGGACAGGACTTTTTCACTGCTGCATCGTGCCTGCTGTCAAGGCCACACAGACCTTTGGTACACAGCTCTGTGCTGGCATGGATAGAGAGGGTACGCTAATCATCCAGCCTCTTAGGAGCAACTTGAAAGTCATTGTTTTGGATAAACAGAAACCTTACATTCACCACAGTGCTGAAAGGTCAGAAATCTTTGGTCTCCTCAGGCTTTTTTTTTTCCCTTCTTTCTACTGGTCTCAGAGCTTTCTCGAAGGATAAAGAGGAAAAGCCTTCCAGGATAGATTGTCCAGGAGCCTGAGTGACTTCGCTGCCCCAGGGGGAGCCTTTGTCTTCAGTCCGGGAAACTCCCGGTGCAGGCGCCCCATCAGCCGGGGGCTCCGGGTGGTGGCAGGCTGCTGGAGCGGTCCCTTTCCCTGTGGCTTTGAGAAATACTGGAATACCCTCGTCAGACAACTTTGAAAATACATATCAAAAATGTTTATCCCATTTTCTCTACGTAGTAGGTTAGATACTAGAGCCAAAAGTAGCCAAGAAAAACCTCAGTAGAACCTAAGCTACGAGGGAGCCTAGTGGACACTTGTTCTCTCTTGACCCCAGTACCTAGGGGTCCGTGGTCCGAGGTGCCTCAGTGTTGGTTGTGCTTTGGGTCACGCTTTCCTTTCTACAGTTCTGACCGACACACCAGTTGTGGGGCTGGCGAGATGCGCCATGTGCTCTTGCCCTCGTGTTCTTGAGCGCTGTTCAGTCATTCTAAGGCAGAGGACAAGTTGTTGTCACCAGATTCCCTAAAGTGAAGGCCCACAGCCTCGTGTCCTCGGGTGGACAGTGGTGTGGCGCCTGGGCGGTGGGGGCGGGGGGGGGCACTGTGCTCTACCCCCGAAACGAAGAGAGCATCCTGTGTGGAGTATACCTGGATTGAAAAGAACCTGGGTGACTTAGAGGTCTGCCGAGAGAAGGGCACCGGGGAGCAGGGACGTGGACTCTGCACCCAGTGAGAGCCCGTCACACCTCCGTCCCAGGGCCTCCAGCAGCGCTGGAAGCCTCGCACACACTGCTGACATGTGCAGGCCGCCGGGCGGGCAGCCTTGGGGAGACATTCACTCACGCTCGGACCCAGGCGGCCCGCTCGTGGGGTTTTCCCCGAGACACGAAACACGGGTCCACACAGAGCTGTGTGCAAGAGTATGCGCTGCAGCTCTGCTGATTATAGCCCAGGACAGTCAGCAACCCACACGGGTAGCCAGAGGTGGTGCTCTGGCTGAGAAGCCTCACTCGGCCCAGCAAGCCAGGAGGGTGGTGGTGGGGTTGAGTTGGCCACGGTTGACAGCTTGCCGTTCTGCGGACAGCAGCCCTGTGCAGCGGGGTTCTGTGAGGTCCTAGAGCCCCGTCTGTCCGTGCCTGAGGCTGTTTGTTCCAGAGTCGCCTTGTACTCGCCCGGCCTGGTCGTGCCGCAAGGTAGAACTCGGGGAGGGGGTTGGGGCAGAGACCTTGAACGGCTACAGACAGCTTCTCTTCCCACCCTGCAGGCACCGTCGGAGTGCAGCTTCCGGGCCTCCACGAGTACGGAGCTGTCGGGGGCTCCACGCACGCTGCCTCGGCCGCCATGTGGGCCTGTCAGCACTGCACCTTCATGAACCAGCCGGGCACCGGCCACTGCGAGATGTGTAGCCTCCCTAGGACCTAGGGCTCCCGGCCCCTGCTGGCAGGACTGGGCCCACCCCAGCCCTCTCTGAAGCCAGGATCATTGTAACCATTGCCCCATGGCGGGCAGCCCTGAAGGGCGGGCCAGGGTGGCTGCCCTCGGGTCTCTGACCCACAAAGCTTCTCAGCACCAGGCATCCCTGGAGGGAGAGCTGGGCTGGTGCTCTGCGGGCTGACACCAGCCTTCTAGTGGAGCGGCACGACGGCCCCCCTGGACGCCCCATACCAGCCTCCGAGGTGGTGGAAGGACCTGGGCACCTCGGAACCATCACCTGGGGCTGGGAGGGGTGGGGAGGGCTTACTGCTGCCATCCAGCCTTCTCTTCCCTTCCTTTTGGATGCTTTTTGTTCTTGCCCCTCCCGTGGTTCCCGTTGGGAGTGTTTGGTGACCTCTGTGCACTGTTGCTCTGGGCTGACCCTGCCTGTGAGGGCCCTTTCTTCCCCTGCCGGCGGCCGTTGTCTAGTGGAAACATGAGTGGGCCCAGGGTTGCTGGTCTCCCTTCTGCCTGACCTGCAGGTTAATTTGCTGCCCGCCTTCCTCCTCACGCTCACCTGACATCCAGGTGGGGTTTTTAAAGTCTGCGTTGGTTGTAATAACAGTTATCAGTAATTTCTGCCCAGAAGACTTTTATTTATTTCTTTTTAAGATAAAAACTACATAAAAGGGGAGCGAGAGACTAGTTCCCACTTCTTCCCTCCCGTAGTGAGTCCCTGGGCGTGGGGGCAGGGTGGACACGGTGGGTGAGGGTGGACGGGGACCCACAGTCAGTTCTTCTTGGAAGTAAACCTCAGTGCCTGAGACTTCCCTGCCACAGCTGCAGACTTGGTGGTCCACGCATCGGCCCCTCCAGATGGGCCAGGCCTGCCTGGGGTGAGCTGGGTTGCCCACGACCCGAAGCTCTGGCCCCTTTTGCCCTGTGTACCATTCTTCCCGTTGCCCCGGCCAGCCCCAGGCCTCCTGCATGGTGACAGAGCCATTGCAACAGGCCCTAGTGAGAGAGTAGGGGCTTGGTCTGTTGTGAGGGTGACTGGACTGCTATGGGGGTCCCAGGACAGAGGTCATGGTCAGGCCTTGCACATGTGCTCTGGGGTCCCCAGGGAGTTTTGGGCAGCACCCTGATGCCTCTTTGCCTTAATGAGGGCCATGTCTCTGAGCTGCATGGCACCCACGGGAGAGGCTGACCCAGACATGGACTGTGCTGGGGACTTCATGTCTCTGCCCTGGGGGTGGGGGGAGGCCTGTGTGACCCTACCTTACCCATGGCAGTGTGGACAGAGAACTCTGTTCTCTGCGTGTTGGCTTCTCATGGCAGGGCTGTGCCTGGCACCTGCAGGTCCACCTGGTGTCTTGTCTGCTCTGGGGGCCAGGGGCCGATGAGGTTGGGTCTGGCTTCAGCAGAGCCATCGGTTGTTGGGGGAGGGGGGTGGGCAGGAGACGCAGACTCCCGCCAGGGTGTGGCGGCTGTCCCAGCTCAAGCTCGGCTCCCAGCTGCCTGCTGAGGGGCTCTCCACGACTGGCCCCGTGTCGTGTGGTCCCTGCGATCCAGTGTGAGGCTGCAGAGGGGCCCGGTGGCACTGGGCCCCGAGTTCCCCCTCTGTGTCCCCCAGGCCCCCCCAACACCCCATTCTCCTTGTGTCGCCTTCACCCAACCAAGCTGGCTCCCGTCTCTCTTCAGCCAACATTCTCCTCACTCTGAAGTTCTGGCAGATGTGGAATTCATTTCCTTTCATCTTTTAGCTGAAGGAAAAGCGTTTTTGATTTCTCTGCTTCTGGTTTTGAGTCACTCTTTGTTCAGTAAACGCACTTTATTTTATTGTCCAAATAAATAGACTCCGAGCTCAGCGTGAGGGTGTGGGGGCACCCTGCCGGAGGCCTTGGCCATGGGCAGCTCAACCACCTCCTCCTGCCCAAGGGAGGGAGGGGTCCCCCAGCCCCACCTGCATCCTGCTCGCCCCTGTGTGGACACACCCTCTGGCCACTGGGCGGGGGTGACTGCTCAGCTGTCCAGGTGCACACAGCTGGCTGCCTCAGTCTCCGACAGTCTGCTCCTGGTGCTGCCGCTCCAGCTCCGCTGGGGGCCGCAGGGATGCGTCAGCTGGGTTTGCATTAGCGTTACCTGGACTCTGATCCCGCCGTGAAGCCAATAAAACTCCTGAAGCGACTGCTGAGCTCCCGATTGTCGTTCCTGGGCCCCGAGGTCTTCCCTGCGCTGAGTGTGTGTGTGTGCAGGCCACCTCCCAAGTCGGCTTTGTGTTGTATGACTTCACTTTTCTCCACATGTCACTGTCCTCGCTGAGGGACCCCAGCATGTCATCGGGGTGGGAGGAGAGCGTGGCCTCCCTCGGGTGCTTTCCTGCCTGTCAGCCATGTGGCTGCTTCTGGGCCTGTGGGGGTTGGGAGGAGGCAGGTGCTTGCAGCCGGCAGCAGGTGAGGGATGCAGTCTGGAAGCCCCCAGACTGTACAGGTGTCGGGGTGTGAGGCCTGGAGGGGACATGGTGCCTGTCCTGCATTACTCTTGGTGTTCGGGTACCACCCTGTCCTTTGGCCTCGGGACGCATTCCTCCCTGGACAAGTACATAGACAACAGCACCTGCCGATGTAAGGGGCCCTGGGTGCCTCTAGTCCTACCCCCGGGCCTGGCTGTTCTCAGCAGCGGTGTGGTGCATGCTACCAACCATAGGCCCCAAGTTGGGGTGACTGTCATATCCGGCCCTTGGTGCATCTCAGACAGCTGGACTTCCCACCTTGGGAAACCACGTGAAGGGGGTGTGCTGCCTTTGAGGAGTGGCCAGCATAGCCTGCAGCTGCTCTGCACACACCGTGGCTTCTCCCCAGGCTGGTGGTGTCATTTGACTTTAGGAAGATTACACTGCCCGAAGGTTTGGCATAAAGAGCACTGACTGGAGTGCGCACCTTGCACACCCACGCGGGTGGCTGCTTACTCCACATCACCCCACTGCTGTCCGAGCTCACCTTCAGGCCTTTGTGGGTGTCTTTCAATCAGGGGTCAGCATTCAGGGCCCCTGTCTTTGTTTAGATAGACTGTTGATCATAAATAAATCCTTACATCACAGCAAAGGGAGTAGGGAGCCAACCTAACAGTGTCTTCAGGGGCATCCTGGCCAGCCAAGGGCGAAACCCGGGGGGAGGGGGGATGGGGGGGAGGGGAGAGTCCTGCCTGGCTCAACCCACCTCCTTCCAGATCCACTTCCCCATGTGCTCATTTTCTGCAGGACAGTCCTCCAGGGAGGGCACCTCACAAGGAATGGGAGTCAAGACTGGCCCAGAAGACTTGTGCCCTCTCCTAGGAGAGGACCCTGCCCTCACTTCCCAATTGGGAAGGCTTAGTGGGAGTCAGTCTTCCTCATCCGGGACGATGTTTCCAGCCCAGACTTCTCCTGGGAGCAAAAGGGACAAACGATGGACTGCAGATGCCAAGTTCACATGGAGTTCAACCCAGAAACAGGGGCTGCCCACTGTCCTGGGGGCTGAGTGCCCACCTCAACCTCTACGAGACGTGCCAGCCTCCGTGGGGGCGGTCAGCTTCACCTCCAAGCCCAGGGGACGTTTGGCAGCATGCTGTGCTTGGTCACACCCCACAGATGCCTCTTTTGCTCATGAGTGTCTGGCTTTGGAGATTGTCCCATGGCCTTAAAGGAGTGAGATGTACCAGACCTCTCCATCCACAGACACCCTTCAGGGATGCTCTGGGTCTCCTGACATCCAGAAGACAGCTCTTGGCCCCTCTCTGGTCAGCACCTCTCCCCACAGCCCTGTGGAATCCGAGGGGGGAGCCGCCAGGGTGGCGGGGAGGAGAGGTGTCTCGCTTCACCCTCACCCCAGACTGATTGCTGGTGACCCATCGTCCAAACCAACACACCCACGAACAGCTTGTGGCCAGGTGTGGAGGGAGGGGCACCTCAAACCCTGGGGGTGGGGCGGGCATCGCGCAGCTCAGCTGCTCAGGGGGCGGGGACCCATCCCCCGTGAAATCCAACCGCTCCCCGAAACCCCACAAAATCGCTTTAGGAGTGGGCCGCCTGCCCCGAGGAGGTGGCGTTCGGCTGGCCCCCGGCTCCCCGGCTCCGGCCCGAGGCAGCCCGCGTCCTGGCAGGGTCCCAGAGTCGGCCCGGCTCCAGGGCGCACGAGGGAGGCGCGACGCGACTTCGGGGCCAACCACCGGGGCCCCGAGGCCCCGCACGTGCGCGCGAGGGGCTGCAGGCCGCGGTGTTCCCCACCCCGGACGGCGCTTGGGGCCGCGCGAAGGGCGGACGAGGTCCGCGAGCGCAGGGTCTGGGGTGTCCCGCGTTTGGCCTCAAACACGTTGGCTCTCTGGCAGACCGCCGCGTCCACCTTCCAGCTCGCAGTGGCGCGGGCCCCCGCCCGCCAGCCGGGGCTCCGGCCGGGGCCCCGCCCCCCGACGCCGCGGAGCCCGCGAGCCGACCCGGCCCCGCCCCCGCCCGGGCAGCTTTACGGCGGAGGTCGCGCCGCGTCGTGGGCGGCCGTAAAGCGCCCCCGCCCGCGCCCCACGCCCCCCCGCCCCCAGCCCCCAGCCGGAGCTCCCTCCCCGCGCTCCCGGCCCAGACAATGGCCGGCCTCCAGCCGCGGGTGGAATACCTGGAGAGCTTCCGCTGCCCACTCGGGGGCCTGGCGGCGGGCAAGCCCCGCGTGCTGTGCCACGGGGCCGAGATCTTCGTGTCCACCGGGAGCGAGTTCGTCTACGTCTACGACCAGGAGGGGAGGCTGCTGACTGTGAGCCCCGGGCGGGGAGGGGTCGGGCCCCTGGAGCCCCCGGGGGGGGGGCGGGAAGACGGGGGACAGACCACCCCGGTCGAGGGGTCGGGGCGAGGAGACTTGAGGGGGGTTCTGGTTCTTCGGGAGGAGCTTGTTTAAAGACTGGCTGCTGTGCTCTGCCTGCTCTCCGCCCTTCACGCGGCTGGCCTGACGCTGCCTTGTCCCCGATGTCCAGGCTGTGTACAGGTTCCCTGGCCAGGTGTGGCACCTGGAGCTCTGGGCCCTCCGCAGGCTGCTCTACGTCCTGTGCGCCCAGAAAGGCATCTACTGCTTGTCGTTGGACCAGGCGAGCAGGTGATGGGGACAGTGGGCAGCACGCGTGGGGGAGGCTGACTCGGCCTCAGGGGCACTCCTCATTGGCCCTGGCCACCCCACCCTGTCTCCTCAAACACTGCCCGTGTGACCTATACGCGTGGCGTGGCCTTGATCAGGTTCACAGTGAGCACGCACCAGCCCTCACCTGGAGGGCTGGTGGGCTCAGGGCCCAGCTCTGAAGTCTGGGGTGCCCCCAGCATCTGCAGCAGGCTCCTGCCCAAGGGGAATCCTTAGTAAATGGGCTCAGGCTGCAGAGTGTGCAGCCTGAGGCAGGATCCTGTCCCCTCTGGCATGGCACACCTTTTAGGCGGGTATCTGCAGTTAGCCGTCACAGACAAAGCACCCTGAACCCTGAGGCAGCCGAGGGGGCCGATATTGAGGAGCTAGGCCCCTCCCATGCTCCAGTGCAGAGGCTAGACACGGGCCCGTGCTCCTTACTGGCTCAGCACTTAAGAAGGTAGGGGATGTGATTCACAGGCTAGACTCGGGGGGTGTTACGGTTCTGCACCGATGAGGGTTTTCCTCCCGAACCCGTTTCTGGAAGCCTGG